AAATAGCTGTCGGCAGCACAGTCTCAAGAGGTCAATAAATCATCCTCATAACGTTCCAGTAAGTTCATCGTTCAAGTGCGACATTTCGTTTAGCCAACATTGAAAGAAGGCGAATAAGATGAACTCAGAGTATGAAAGTAAAATTGAATTGATTCGAGCGATGATTTAATTTACTTTATCTTTTGTGGGAAGCATCGAGAAAAGTGGCAGCGATCGGACATATTGATACAACATCATCAAATCCACCCTTGATAGTCCATTAAAAGCAAGGAAATCCATCGGCTGGAGGTCTTCCACTGTAAACGGCTGCAATCAGAACACTGATCGATATGTTCCTTGAGATCAAAGCTTCGCCATTTTAAAACTTGTTCAAATCTCGAAAAACCATGAAAAGGACACCGAAAATCGATTTTTCATAACTCATGGAAATTGGAATTTTACGGTTGAATTTTTAAATTGAAATTTCGAAACGACTACCCACCAATTCACTGTTCGATGTAAACACCGCTGTTGCCGTATGTTTGGCATAAACCAATCGTCTACTATCGTTCAGTGCCTTCTCAGCTTCTACTGCCCAATCGAGCATCGATTCCAAAACTGCGTGGTTGTGAACACATGACATCAACCGATTATCTGCACGAACAGCACTCATGAATACAGTTTCTGTGGAGTTTTTTACACATATATTTACATGTAGCAATCATATGCACTCCTCGTGTTCACATTAACTTAGTTCTAGGGCTCGAAAATTACCCAATCCATCTTTTTTTTTTCAGCGATTACGATTCAATTCCTCAATCCACGCATTCGCTTCTTCCGATGAAAGGTTTGAAGAATTGAAACCATTTTGCCCAAGTGCCATTCAGAATGCTTAAACGACAACAAATTTTGCTTATATATAAATACCACTGTTCGAGAGATCAAATACCATCAGAGAAGATGATTGAATATAGTGCGAAAGAATACCATTCAGAATAATCGTCGCGAATGAAAACACAAAATCCTAGAATGCTACTCAAAAAAAAAACCCGAGAACAGAACTTAGTGGAGAGGGAGTAGCTATTTGAGGTGGGCTCGAAGAACGTCCGTTCACTGAAGGCGTTGCTTTCGAAGATGCTTCCGGGGAACTGTTTTCATCTGCAATTTTCGGCACGTCGTTAATTCAGCTGAACCGCATTTTAGAGGTTAGTTGAGCTGATGGGAATATTTCAGACAGTTTCGGTGGAGTTCAGTAGGGCAAAATTTGGGGGTGGAAATGGTGCAAAGGAATGGAGCTAGTTCCTTGCTAGTAGTGTGCTGCAATGTTCGGAAGTCATAAAGCCTAATTGCAGGCTCAGAGGCAGTCGTCAAAAGATTACTCTAATGAGGCAATTAGTTATTCCTTGAAACAGTAACTGTATATTAGTAGGATTTAGGAATAAGCTGAATAGATTTGTGAATTCATAAAAGTGATCAATTGTAAGCACTCACGAAGCTGTTCATGTTGTTGCGTTTGGTGATCTGGTTCGACGGGGTCATCCACAACAGTATCGTTGCATAAGGGAGCGCATTTGCGATTAGTATCACGTCGATACTGTACATCTGTACAAATACACATTGTTAGATGAATATTCTCAATTTTGTTTTTTTTTAGTGCAGCAATGATATTGGGTTTTTTGTAGACAAACGTCAGAAGGTATTTTGAGACTGAACTGACACCACGCGGAGAATTTTAGAAGATCATTATTCCGAAAGACTAATGAAATCAATCAAAAGGATTGTCACTCACATTCCCGTTTCATGCCAGCGTTAAGGCACTTTTCGTACCGACATTTTCTGCAGGCCATCCGTAGCACTGAACGGAAATTCATTCAACTGGATGATTTGATGGATTAAGTTAGAGGAATTAAGTTAGAAAAAGGTCGCTTGCTAGAAAACGAAACCAAACAATTACGGTATAACGACACGCGTACTCAATGAGTTTGCTTTTTGCGTACCACAAATCAAACGGTTCAATGATCAAGGAAATGCAACCAAATAGAATTTATGAATGATTTCTGTGTCAATCGTTTCCTTGGCAACCAACTGTTGAGTTTTAACACAAATGCGCAGCTTCTTTCTAATCTCAATTATAAGAAGTTCAATCCATGGATTGCGAGAAACCAATAGAATAATCTGTGAATAAACATCTGTTTTGTTTTTACCGCAGAAAAATTGTTGGAACAACGGAGAAAGATTCGAGCTGTAAACGATAAGTGCAAAATGTTTCGTCGTGAAAATGTGGATCGGTGATGGCATGGTTCAAGACTGACCTATTATCATTACAAGTCAGTGGCACGCATCATCTAAGACAAATAGAAAAGACGAACAAATGAATAATGAACGAACAATGATGAATATGACACTTGTTCTCGTAAGATTTTCCTTCAGCTGCACATTTATACTTCATGCGCATTGAAACTGTACGTCTGAAGAAGGCAGCACAAGCCTTGCACGATCGAGCCCCGAAGTGCAGTGTTGCTGCACGTGGTGAGTCACATATGGCACAAACCTTCTGACATTCCGCCACAGAAACCATCTTCATGATCACTGAAACTCGTTGGTTGAGCTTTGTTAAGCTATTCAACATCAGCTCAAAAGAATCTTCCGATGAAAACAAAATCTATCTTCTCAATTATCAGTGATGAAACACTGTTGAGACGTGCGCACTTTTTGCCATTGCTATCATATCTCNGGACGGCTCGCACCGCACGTGGAAGAGTAATCTTGAAAAAGGTCGATCGCTATGAGAAAACAAACCAAAAAAGTGTGCCAACGAGAATGCTTCCAAAGTATGTGGAACACAAGCGCAAATCTTCCAGCGATAGAACAGAACTTAAAAAAAGTAACATACCATCAACTCAAAATAAAACAATTCGAGAAAAACGTGGTTTTATTGCAGATTCATAACAGATTACAGAATTGAATGAGTTCAACAGAAGAGGATGAGGAACTCAGCAAGTCGTTAGTGTTTCTACATAAGAATTCATTAAGTTCAATGACAAGGCAAAACAGGGACTAAAGAAGGAATTTGAGAGGATTTGACTAATCTCTTCAAGGACTGCATTCTGATGAATGGAATGCGTTCGTTGGCGTCAAAAGAGCTGTTGAGAACTGAAACTAAATAAACATATAACCAACACGTCGATAGGCATTTCAATTATGGATGTTTTGAGTGGAAGAATCACTAATAATGAAATGCTTATAATCACACACATTAACATCAATCCATCACAACTACATTCTCAAACAATCTGTTGGAAAAATGATTTCAGTTGTTCGCTGAACACTTGCGTAACATTACTTAGTAATATACACAGTTTGTGTAGCAACACTGAGTGTCATTATTGAATAAGCAGCGTCAAACAATTGCTTTAATTACATATTGGCGAGACGAGTGTAGGAATTTCTGAAGCAGTGATTTGTTTGCATAAGCATTGAAATTGTCAGTTTGAAATGAAACAATTTAAGGGAAAGCTCATTTGACTCGTGAGTGATTAGATTGCTACATAAATGCGTTCAAAGTGCAGAACATAGGTTATAATTGTGTTCAGAATGATATCAACTCGTCAGTAAACGACAAATGAGCAGACGAGTACATCTGATAGAGTCGAGCTGATCGTCAATTTCAAGGTTAAGCGTCTCGACAATAGTAAACGATGTTCCGAGAATTACGCCATCGATTACAAGTGAAATGGTGAAGGAATGCGCAGAACGCGAATGAAACCAGACGAAATGAAAGGTGGAACTGGTTTTTGTTCCTATTTGAGACTTCCCAAGTGCAGAACATGAACATCAAAGTTTACCGCTACGACCAACATACGAGAAAAAGAATACCGAAAAAGATGAAAGAGAAGAAACTGAGGAAACATCTGCTCAAATATTGAATATTTCCCAAAATGGGCTCAAATATTGAAATTAAAAAGGTCAGGATCATAAAGCATTCGACGGGGGATCAGCTGCATCAGTGTGCACAATTCAGTAGAAAACGAAACAGATGTGTGGAATTTTTTTTGGCAACCTCTAGATGTTCTAAACAAATTTTCAGTGCACAGGAAGAATTCAGAAGGTAGCAGCTGCGGATTGGTGGTATCATATTATACTTATGACCATCTTAACCACCTAACGTAGCAGTTATCAACGACGAGCAGCTGATGTTGTAATAATGAGCGAGAAGCTCAACCAATTAGTTGCACTAAAAATATTGGTCAGCCTAGAATGGATCAGAAAACAGGAAATGAATTGGGAATGATAGCACACAATCGAATTGTTCGACTCCACAGAAATTACGTATCTCGAAAATTTACATCGGTGATAACGAAAAAGCCGTAAATGTTGCAAGGTTACGGAAATGCCCTTTCCTTAGAAATGGATTCAAAAGTGATTTCCGCTGAATTTTGTCACCTATGTAGTCGTTTTGAAGTGCATACACGTGGCTGTGAAACGATCGTTTAATGTTGGCATTTATGATAGATTGAATTGAGCCTAGTCATCACCCATGTAATTAAATTGTTTGCTAACCTTCACGCAGATGTTGATCCTATTTCTGCTTGTTTTACAATGAATGAGGTTGCACGAACGCAGTTACACGAACGAGATATTGGCACTGAAATGCCAGCTATAGTCGGTTCACTTTTGTAGGTTGTTAATGTAAAAAATGCTTTCAATTCAAACACTTACGCTCGGACGGACGAGTGTTAGTGTTTTTGTAGCCCTCAGAAGCCCAGATTTGGAATCAAATGATTCAGCCAACACTGACAAATGCTGACGTCAAACTAGTCAACAGTTTCACAATCTTTTTCGATTTATCAGATCACTTTCTGTACAACTATGCATAATAGAGGAGCTATTGCTAAAATATTCATTCATGCTCAAATGCGCAGAAGAATTTATCGGTTTTGTGATTGTCGACATCATGATTGCATTCATTTAGCTCCATTTATTATTGGCATTGGAATTAAAACCGAACTGAAGAATACTTTGCGATTATAAGAGCGATGTTTCCATTCCAGTCAAACTATTCTATTCCTGCTCCCCTGGAGGAGACAGAACAGAATACTTTAGAAAAAAGAGCGGAACGTAACAATTGGGGGCGGAATAGAACTAGTGGTGCTTCTGTTCCACACTTTAGGAACAGAATAGAACAGTTTGACAGAAGTGCAGAACAGAAACATCACTGATTAGTGCATAAAGAGTTTCCTTGGAATGTGCAGTGCTTCAGCAAATAAGAATGATAAAATTGGCCCTTCATGTTCCAATTTTAACATCTGGAGGTGTACTTTTACGTTGCGTATGATCATTTGTTTATTTAATCAGCAAATCAAACTCATTGCGAGTTTTTGCCTCTTTGTTATCACCGATATCACTAATATCACATTCTACCTTCCTCGGCATTCTTCTTTCCGCGCAGCTAACGATATTAGTGTTTGGAATCATCTGTCTTCATTCCATTGATTAAGTATGATAACGTTGAGTTTGATAGCATTCCATTGATTAAGGTGAATGCCAAAACTGCGCAACTTCGTAATCACTCTGATGATCACTGTTGGAGACATCAAAAGACAGAGAGAGATGCGACAGTGCTGAATTCGTTATCCGTTCTGTTTCAAAAGGATTGCCTTTAATCATATCTGATCGGTGAGAGCATTAGCCGACGAATGGACTGAAGAGTTGCGACAAACAGGAAAAAAGGTAACGAAAGGTGCTCAATAGACAGAGCACACGCAATCGAAATATTTGATGCCCCATTGAGTCCTTTGGAAGCTCGTAAAAGCATTCACAAATCTTTATTTGACATGCTATAAGTCGTTTAATTGGCCGAGACTGACCACATAAATCATCTCTNCTGCCGATCGAAGTTATCAACCAGTTTCATCTCTTACTCGGAACAGCCATAACCATAGATTCAAGCATCATTGCTCATTCATTGAAGCATGGAAAATGGATGACTTCAGATGTTCCACTCATTCTCTAATGACTTCATTAGATTTGTTCATTCTCCAAAAAGCACTGAGCAGAAATCTGTTTCATGTATAACTATTATGGGTGGACCCAATCATCATATCAGTTCTCAATCTAGCATGCTTTCATGAACACTTTATGAACCTATTTCCTCATCTATGCTCACGCTTCAATGTTTATTGATGAGTGCCTTAAGAGCGATAGATTTTGATATCAGCAATTCATCGTATTTATCGGACCAGTTCATTTCTGTAACTGATGACTCATTCTCGATAGTAGTATTTCTTATTCACATGTCATTTGCTCCTTGCAATGCTTCTGTTCCACACTTCAAAATTCGGCTGTGTTCTGCTTTTCAACTATCCTGTTTGATTGTGTTCCAATACCGTCACCTTTCGAGATTGCTCTCGCGTCCTGAAGTTTCACGCATGTTTTGTTCTGACGTTTAAACTGTCGTTCCGTTCTATTCCTTTTTGTTCCAATTCCTTTTTGTTCCATCATTGTAGTGGAACAGCATTAATATTGACGATGAATGTTTTAGCATTTAGGATTGGAAACGAGGGCATTTTGAGATTAGGCTTGTGAAAAGGATGATTTCTGGAGGGCAAAGACGGCATCCACCGAGTTGCGGCGCGGGAAATCCGAGAAAATCGCGCATTGTAGCCCGAATGATTAATGGAACTAATTTTTGATGTTTGAACGCAAACTGCTTGTGACAGTAGGGATTAGTTTTTGTTTGCTGGTTCCGAAAGTTGGTTTTTTGGTTCCTTTTTGGTTCCGATCAAGCACCAAGGATTCTGAGTTTGCAAACAAACTATCCCAATCACCATCCATGCACATCAGTTCATGCAGTATTACTACAATTCATAGGTTGCGATGATAGGGCAGTCAACTTTTTTCCTTCTATTCCAATAAAATTTACTGCTCCTTCGACGAACAATCTACATCATTCATCTCTACACTGCGCGACTTGAAGTAGTTTGCATTGCATTGCTCAAAAAAAGTGCTCTAAGTAAACTTCAAAAATTATATTCATCAAGCTAAAAACGCAAAGTACTGAGAGTGGAAATTCCCCGCAAGCGTTGACTTAAGGATCAATTAGAAATCATCACGGTCCCTCCCTCGGCAGGAATGTCCGCGGGGATATTCTTCCGATTACATCGTCTCCCTCTCATCCCACTAAAAAATGCTTTTGACAACAGGAACCAAGATGCATTTACGCTGGAGCTCACCTGCATTGACTGATGAAAGTGATTTTTTTCCTTTTCATTGTGGCAGGTTCAAGCTAGGTTGAAACTAAGGCTTAGTTTCAAGTTGAAACTCAGTGCTCAGATTTGATGTGGACTTAGAAGAAGAGCGAAGCTACGAATCGACTTGGTGCATCGTGCGCACCGGTCGTGTAACAGCTATTCGCCGCTTTCATACGAAAATAAGCTCGCTAAGATAAGTCCGCTAAGATAAGCCCGTTCGGATAACGACTGCACAACCACCTGAATGATTCTGGATAATGAATACATCACGAAAAGCGAGGTTTGGCTGTGCACGGACAGTGGCTAAGAATGTGTTTGCTGAGGATTT